GGCTGCATCTCGCGCAAACCGCTAAACAACGAGATTAACAGAACAATTAACGTATGAATAATAATTAACGATATTCAACTAATGGTCATCCAAACTAGTAAACCAAATATTTCTAATAAAACGAAGACCTCTTTCGATGCCGGAAATATCATGATAAAGGCCTCTTTAATTAGCAAATTCAAATAAATTAAGTCGTAACAGATTTCGAATATTCCAGAACTTTAGAATTGCGACGCATGAAATCAACCGAAGCGTTAGAGGGGTAGAAAGAAATGGACAACCTTAGACGAAGGTAGAGGTAGAAGTCAAGAAGGGATGAGGGAACTAGGAAGAGCGGCCAACTAGCCCAATACGCGCGGGATTTCCCCTCCGTCACGTACCCCGATTTGCCAAATGATGTCCCCACTTTGGGCCCTTGATCGCGGGTCGAACCCTGAGACACTTGAGTCGCTTGACTGAGGCAAATGACTCTTCGTCGAAAAATCGTGAGGTACGTGGCGGGGAGCCCGTGTTCGCGTCGAGCAATAGTTTCGTGTGAAAATCGTAGAAATTAGCTGACCGGTAAAGTCCTTGAAAAAGGCAGAGTGCCGGGAGATTGCGGTTCGCGTTTTCCGCGTTAAAGACTCTTGCGAATACGTTAAATTTCACACTTTTCAATCACTATCCTTTTCTCTTTCGTTTTAAACCGTCCGCTGAATTAATTACTTTTCTTTTTGGTTTTTTTTTTTCTTTCGCGTCGCGTCGTCTTTACAATACTTTTGTGCTCGTTTCGTAATTAATCGTTCCGTAATACCGTAATAAAGGCCGATCGCGAACGCGTAGTGCAGTGGCAGTTTCCTCATCTCTTCTTTGATTTCCAGATTTTCCAACGACACCAGAGAAAAGCTACTAACTATCTATTATCAGATATTATTATTTCACCTTGATTCCTGGTAAGTTGTCCATTTCATTTTATCTAATGCGACGAATCTGGACGTGGCGAGGCAAAACGGGCGATCTACGAAACCGCGTATTCTGGAAAGTTTCCCTCTAGATCGTTCCGTTTACAATAGAGACATAAGGTATCGAATATTTAAAATATTTGGAAAATTCCGATTTCACACAAAAGAAGGCGGCCCCACGAAACCGAGGCTCTGGTAGTTTACCCTCTGGGACCGTTCTTCCTTTTGTTCGCGTTTAATTCTTTGTACGACATCGTCGCTCGAATCATCGAACCATTTAATCAACCTCTAACTATTCTATAATCAATAGTTTCGTTCTTCATAAAATCTAAACTTTTCTTAATAATGCATTTATTTTCTGTTATATTTCAAACAGCTCGCATTTTCTGTTAACCAACCATTTTTATTGTTACACTTACTTTTTGAGATTATATTTCTGTTACACCTAATTAGTTTAATTCATTTACTTTTCAAATACTTCCTTCTTCCTTATTTTCACGCCTACCATCTTCGTACAAATTCACACGAGGGGCCCGTATGGGACTAGAGCATTGACGAACCCGATTAACATCTTGATTAACTATTAATTAATCTAACAACTCTTTTATTGTTCTAATCGCGAAGGATCTAACATCGTCTCGAGCGATTAGGACTGGTGGTAGCGCTAATACCGTTCTCAACCGCGTATCAGCCAACATAATAATTAAAATCAGGTTTTTTAATTTTGTACGTCGCGCGCCGTATCTCTCGCTCGCGACGTAACACGTAAATAAAAAATTCGAATCGTTATAGATACGTCAGATAACATTCGTATTTTTAACGATTGTATCAGAAGTTGGTAGCACTTCTGATGTACATATATACTGTGTAACGTGAAATGTTATCACGTGAATATGTTTAGAGTGGTGTGGCGACACTGCCATGGGAATATTTATCGATAGTCTATTGTATCGATATGTCTTGAATGTTCTTCGAGGACCTTTGTATCGATGGTCATAAATTAAGAGCGAAATTCGAACATAGTCTGTGCGTACGTTTATATAAATAGACAAAGAGTAAATTGTAAACCCCTCGACGTGGGTGATCGAGCTGAGAGAAGGCCGGAAATCCAGAGAATGGAATAGTTTCACTTCGAAAGTTCTTAAAAGACTAATTTATGATAGACCATAGCCAATTCGTTGTTTTCGACCAAGTCACGAACGGTCCTTAAAAGCTACGAAGTCTTTTCCGATATCCTGTCTATTCATGCACTCTGAGAGGATCGTAAATTTCCTCGAGAGTTGCTTTGGCAAGTACAAGGTCTTGTCGTTTCCTAATTTCTCTAGGTCCCACGCTTTCTCGTAGCACATGTGCGCCGCAACATTCTAGCGTCTTGGCGGAGCGCCTCCACTTCCACGCGCCTGAGGGTGGACCACAGCCAGGAGAAGGGGCCCACACGAGACGGGGTGGACCCCTCCACCATTGGACGAGGGATGATCCTGAGGGAGGATCCAGGATCCACCAAGGAAGGGGCATCGACCGACAACGCGCGAAGATCTCCTCCGCCAAGCGCAGAATCGTTAGAATGATTTTGTCACTCGTTACGGACAAGTCGTTTTCGCACAGAAAGTTCTAAGCCTTGTTAACACAAAGTCAAAGTTCTGTTTTAAATTGAATTCAAAATATTAAAGTACTCAAAACAATAATAATAGTTTATTATTTTGCATATCCGCGCCTTGAGAGTGAAGCGTTTCCGCGCTCCACGGAGTGTCACACCTGCACATAAAATCCCCAAATATCCCTATTTTCCGCGACGGACACACAACATATGTATGTGTGTACAATATCAATCATAGTGTCCTTTCGTCTAGTGAAAAAGCACTAAAGGGGAAGGTGCCCTTACCACCGGGTCACGCGCCAGCGCGCAGCCATTATGCCTCGTTCGCATGAGAAATACCTTTGTATTTTAGGAGAAAAGAAATTTTTTCAAATAAATGCTTAATCGAAGAAGTGAGGCGGTTCATTCCTCAACGAGTAAAATATATAACCAGCACAATTAAAAACTCGCTTGTCGAAATAATTAATTGCGTCGAGCATCGGACGGCGAAGGTGGCTCCCTCCGCCCTATAGGATGGGGCACGAAACTGCGAAAGCACACCGTGATTCCATACCGAACCGGAAGCTGCATAAGAGCCTCTCTCTCGCACTGTAACTTCTGTCCTTGTTTAGCCCCATTTCACTCCGACTCCAGGCTCGTCGAATGCCATCCTTGTCGTTTCGCTTATGTCGAGATAGTGCGATAGTGTCCTATCTTTTATTTGTTTATTCCTTTGAATTTTGGCTCCTAATTTATGAGCATTGATATAACATAATGCAGACATGCTGCAACCATACTCTTATGGCATCGTCGCCATATTACATTTCTTTCAATGCTTGTGATTACAAGCTTGCAGCTAAATTCACTCGATATTGCACACATACATATAGGCGAGGTTCGCAACAACCGACAGACCCTAGAAAAATCCCTAGACGCGAGTTTTCAAATTACGTCCTCATTTCTAAACAGAATGTAAAAAAATTTGAGGGACATGTCCAGGAGGCCCTAAAGAATGGGTCCAGGAGGCCCTAATAGTCTGGTCCTTATATTATCCAAATGGTCAAAAAATTATAAAATATTGAAATTTATGTATGTCAACCGTCAAGAAAATGGCGGATCAGACTCACCTGCATCAGTTTATTCGTAATATAAACATTTCTGCCAATAGTTTCTCCAAATGGGTACCAGACTACCATTCTTTGGGTCGGATAGAACAAAACGAGCACCCAAGGGATGATGTACAAGTCTCCAGGAAGAAGTAATTTGAAAACTACGATTTCGTTGACTGTTCATTCGCGAAAGACGTCAACAAGGTAAAACAAACCAGAAATTTAGTTCCTCGTTTATTCTGTAGGGCGCAGTTCGTTCCATTCCATTCCATTCCATTAATTTTACCCTGTTTTCCGATAGGAGGGTGCTTCAGCCCCCCACTATCGTACGGGCCGGTCTTTCTAGGGACTTATCTGTCCCTATGTTGCCGAATGAAAACTTTCGGCCACGCGCCTAGGGGATGGGTTGGCTGCGCTGCCAACACAAACCCCGCACATTTTGATTCTCCTCTTTCTTACATTTGTGTACATTTCTTTTTCCTTTTCTACGTTTTACCATACTTTTACGCTTGCCAGTTCTTCCATACCTTTATGTCTTTGTTTCTTTCCATACTTTTATTGGTTTTATTGCTTAGCGTACTCATTATTTCCTCTAAGTTCTCGCAGTACTGCTATTTCTCTTAGTTTGACACTTCTGTCACAGGTCCCGGCACTCCGCTCGAACGCACCTCTCACTACTTTTCCCATGCTACCCCACTCAATTATGATAATATATACGTTATATAATGATTTTCTGTACAAGCCTTATTCTAATTTTATATCTCTCATTCCCATTCTCATTCTCCCAAACTCATTTCTGTCATACCACCATTCACTGTCTCTCACTCTCTCTCGTTCGTGCACTTTATTCGCTTTTTCCAAGCCTCCGGAAACCATCCCTCGAGGGTTTTCTCGACTTTATTTTCTTTTCATTGGGTCCAATTCCCACTTATTCCCATACTTACTCTCTGTTTCCTTCCTCTCGAAGAGGTGGTTCCGTTTACATACTCGGTAGCGATTCTGACTAATTGTACACTCATTATTTTCTTTCTTTTCAGGTCACTCCGCATACCAGGGCCGGAGCATCGGTCCCGGAGACCCCGCGCACAGGAGTGCGGAGTCGGGAGGCGCGTTTTCTTTTGTAATTTATTGTTTTGTATCGAGTCCAATAAATGTTATTTTTGATTTTTAAATATCGTCCAACAGTTGCCTATCGACTTTTCCCTCGCATCCCGCACCCCGGGCACCCCAGGCCGGCTATTCCTCCCTATCCATTCTTCCCCTCACACCACTCATTTCCGTCACTCCTCTTCTCTCACTCACACATGCCTTCCGTCCTCTACATTCAGGACCGGCTTCGCCTCCCAGAGCGTCCCCGTTTTCCGCGCCCGCGCTCTAAATTATTTTGCTCGTTTCTATTAAGAACCTCGCCAACGCGACGCATACCGCCGGTTTGTCCCTTTTAATCAAGTCTTGGTATTGGGGTCTACCCCGTAGCTCCCTCTCGCGTAGTTTGTCTATAAATTTTCCTCGAATATGATCGTATTTTTCGCATTCCCACATCACGTGACACAAGTCTTCGACCGCCTGTCCGCAGTCGCACCCCGGGTCCTCCACGAGGTATTTTCTCGCGAGTAATTCTCCCAGGTTATAATGATTGGATCGAACCTTACTCAGAACCGAGATCGTCCTTTTGGTTTGTATCGCAAATTTTTTAAACCACGGTTTTTTACAGCCCTCGTTCGTGTCTATTTCATTAAAGTAACGCGCGCCCTTATAGGTTGCCTCTCTTCTCATATATGTCGAGAAGTCCTTCCACGCACTTTCCACCAAGGTCACTAAAATATCCTCATACGGTATTACATAGTCCGAGTCCGGTGGGCGATCCGTGGCCCTCTTCGCCGCCTCGTCCGCTTTTTCGTTTCCTACGATGCCTTTGTGCGCTGGCACCCACACGAATACGACCGGCGCTTTTTTACGGTCCGCTGCCACCTCGCACGGTAAGTTTTTACGCACACAGATTTCATGCAGTTCCTTTAGTATTTTAGCAATTATTTCGTTTCTTTTACCATTCGGTATGTCACTCATACTTTTACTTTTTATGCCGTCTAGAACTTTGAGAACACTCGCCGAGTCACTGTACAGCAACAGTCTTCTATCGTCCTCCGATTCTTTGTAAGTCTTTAACGCTTCCACCATCGCGATTGCTTCTGCAGTGAAGATGGTGGCCCTCGGGTTCACGCTAACGACCCTCTCGTTCCAGTTGTCGTGGTTTTTGGTGACGACAGCCGCTCCAACCGACTGGGCCCCCTGCCTCTTGGACCCATCGGTGTACATCTCGACGAAGCTCTCGTTGATTGAGCCATAGTGTTACCTCGTTTCCGCTGGGATGCTCGCCAGGATCGCGTTCGGCAGTACCATCATTTCCCCGGCACGCCACTCTGTCCGGGGCTCAGGGCATTCCAGCAACTCAGTGCTCGGGCGTTCTGCATTCCGTCTCGCAAGCGTCATCAATTCCTCGTGTTTCCTAAAAGTTTTCATTACGTAAGTTAAGTTTTTCACTGGTCTATCTCTAACACTTTCCCATGCTCTATAAAACCAGTCCAAAAATGTCCCATTCCTATTTCCTATCTTTTTGAGGAGGTATTTTCCTGTCAATAAACCTATTCTTGTCTCTAGACTCATAATTCCCGCTTCGACATGCATCACGTTTGTGGGTGTCGTTATTCTATATCCTATTGCTATCCTAATCCCAGCATTCTGGATTCTGTTTACTCTTTCTATGTTGTTCACGCTCCCATCTATATAGATCATCGCCCCGTACTCTAACACCGATCTGACCAACACTTTGTATAGTATTAGCATTATATTTTGATCCACACCTTTAGAAATATGTGCGATGTATCTTAGCATGTTAAGCCTGTCTCTCGCTATCCTTTCCACGTATTTCGTATGTTCGCGAAAATAGCACTTTTTATCGTAAATTATCCCCAAGAATTTTGCCTCGTTTGCCTCAACTATTCGCGCGTATCCTACCCTCACCGTGACCGCCCCACCCGCTCTACTATCCGAGCTTCTCGTCCCTCTCCATCTGTTGAAATTGACGATAACCGTTTTTTCCACTGATAATTTTAAGCCTATTTTTTCCAGGTTCACTATTATTCTGTCTAGTGCCGTTTCCAACTTTCTGACATTGCCAATGTTGTGATAAATAGTGGACACGTATATACCGATGTCATCTGCAAATTGTAATTTTACCAGTTCTTCATCGTCGAGGCCTTCCATTATTTCGCTCGTATATATGTTGTACGGGATTGGGCTCAGTACTGACACCTGTGGCAGCCCTCTTACAACCCTACCCTCTTCGTCATCTTCAAATCTTCTCACGACCGTTGCCGTCCTTCCTTTGAGCCAGTCTTTAATGTAGTTAAATATTTTGATCGGACATCTTTTCTTCCTCAAAATGGCTAGCAACATTCCATGGTCAACCCTGTCGTAGGCCGATTTTACATCCAGGTACGCGGCTAGTGTGGCTCTGCCGCTGTTGTAACCATTTTGTACATCTGTTCTAAGCCTCACCAGATTATTGATCGTCGATCTTCCTCTTCTAAATCCATTCTGCCACTCGTGTATCACGTTGTTTTCCTCGGCCCATCTTACCAATCTAGTATTCACGATTCTTTCCATTAGTTTTCCAATGCAGTTGGTCAGAGCGATCGGTCTAAGCGTTTTCTTCCCCGGTTTTTCTAATAGTATGACAACTGCCGTTTTCCAGCTTGGTGGCATTTTGCCGGAGTCCCACACCCTACTGAACAACTTTACCATTACATTTAAGAAGGAAATAGGTAGCATACTTATCGTTTTATTATCTATTCCGTCTGCTCCTGGTGCGGACTTTTTATTAATTTTGTCGATGGCCGATATCATTTCCCTCATATTCAACGGGTTCTCCTGTTGATTTGTTGTTTGATCAGCATATATTTGTCTCTGTTCATCCGTCGCGACACCGTTCGTCGTCTCGACCGGTAGAGTATCGTTATCAAAGATCTTATTTATCTCGGATTGTTCCAGCTCGCTTCTTTCATCCGGTGTCATAATGCTCTGGGAAGGGTTAGCGCCTTTTTGTAGTCCTTTAATTTTTTCCCACAGAGTTCTGCAGTCAGCACTATGGTTCACGCTGTCCGCGAATTTCTCCCACGCCTCTCTTTTCTTCTTCTTTATCATGGCCTTCATTTTCTTATCGCAGACCTTGTATTCTTTTCAGGTTTCTTCGTTTCGTCTTCTATTGAACGTGTTTAGGGCTCTCTTCTTCTCCTCTCTTACCCTATCACAGTCCTCATCCCACCATCTTCTTTTGTTCTTTCTTTTCCCATTCTCCTTGGGTCTCCCGTGATTGTTTCGAATCTGCTTGGGTTTGGTGGCTCCTGCCTCCTTCAATCCCTTATATATTGCCTTTCTTATTTCCGCTTCCTCCTCCGTCTCGCTCATCACCTCGGGCCCGCTCCTCGCAAGGTTCCCACTCGCCACGTCCATTCTCATTTTGTACATGTTCCAGTTGATTTTTTTGTATCCGTACTTTCTTGTCGAGAAGCGTTTACTCATGCCGCCCGGAGGCACTGTCATATCCGTCTGTATATCAATTATTTGGTGATCCGACCCCAGCGTGAGTCCCGAGTTACTGGCGTCTATCCTCTGCAACATTTCAAATTTCGTTATAAGCAAGTCTATATTGGACGCCCTGTACGAGCCCGAGGCCGGGCGAGACAGGGTGTGCCCGTTTACCACGAACAGGTCCCTTTCCTCCAGGATGTTTGCCAATCTTAATCCCTGCGTGTCGTCTTCTGCGCAGTTCCACATCATATTCTTGGCGTTCATATCTCCCATTATGATCATTCTCTCATTTTTTTCTAGGTTATCAAGAAGATTGTTCCACTGCGTTTGTGTGGTGTTTTTGGATGGGCTTCTATATATCAAGATCAGGTCGGTGTTACCCTCCTCTGACTCAATGGATACCGCCAACGTTTCCATATTCGTATCATCGTTTATCGTTTTTTCCTGGAATTTTATTTGCTCCTTTATTATGAGGCACAGGCCTCCCTCGGCTGTACCTCTTCTAGTTCCTCTATTCGTGCTGTCGAGCGCATCTCGTTTTACTATCTTATATCCCTTGAATGAGAGTGCAAACTCCGGATACAGCCACGTCTCCATGACCGCCAGTATGTCATACTCATCGATTATTGCTCCAATCTCCGCCATTTTTCCTCTGATACTTCTTGCATTCCACAAACCTATTTTCATCTTACAGAGTCCGTTTAGGGTATTGGGTGATAATATTGTGTTAGACTACTGTTTGTCCTTAATCTAGAGTTAGTATGTATATTTACAGCTACTATACTTGAGTATATAACGTAATTTTCTTTTTGGTTTTTCTTTTTTAAGGTTTTTTTTTTTTTTTTTAAACTCTTAGTTGTCTAAAATATGACTATATATATTAATTTACTTACTAGGTCTCTTATCACTACCTGTACAGATATTGTTGTTTATCAGTTTTTGTTTGACGTTCAATGTTTTAATTGTGCGCTTCTTTGCTAGTTTCGTCTTCCTCCCTTCTGCTAATTTCCATCGAAGTGGTCTCTATTTCTATTTCTATGGGTGACAGTGCTCTTTCGGGTACCGGAGAAGGGGTAGCAGTTCTTTTTCCCTCTTCATCCCTTTCTTCATCGTATTCTACCTGTGTTATCTGGGTATCTGATGCTGTGCTTTCTTTTAATCGTTTTATCTCTTCCCTTCTTTCTTTTTGTTTCGCGAATATTTTTGCCTGTTTCTCGGGGATCACTAGTTCGAGGTGGGGCCCGTTACCCCACCAATCTTCATTCGTGTCCGCTGCTTGAGTGTTTTCTCTCCATTTCCTCTCCTTTCTTAACTTCTGTTCGAAACTATTCAGCAAGTTTCTTTCCGTTATCAGCATGATTATCTGATCTAATATCTCATCATAGGTCTTGTTCTTAATGTCCTCCAGGAGCTTGTAGTTCTCTCCTTTGATTTTGCCAGTCATTCTCCTCCTCCTCTCATCCTGTTCATAATTGTTCCCTTCGTACACGTCAATATTGGGGGCATTTTTCACTTTGGGCCTGCCCCGTGCCATTGGAATTTTGTGTAGGGTTTTAATTCTTCCTTCCATTCGGGCCGTCCTCATTTCTCTTTCTTCTCTGATATCCCGGTATCTGAATATTTCGGTTTCTATAGTCGTTATCGCTGTCATCGCTTATCCCTTTTTCCCTGCCATGATGGTTACCGCTTCTTTGTTTCCATTCATTTATCGTTTCTCTTCTCTCGGGTATTTCCAACCTTTCCCATTTTTCCCCTCTGTTGTTGTTGCGCGGTCCCCTTAGCTTGGGGAAGTCTTTCTCGTTTTCGAGGTTCAGGTCGAACCTCCTGCCTGCATATTTATCCCTGAGCATGTCCTTTGCTTGCGAGTACGACACGTTTTTATATGCCATAACTTTTCTGAGTTCGCTTTCCTGCTGGAAAGCTTCGCACTCTCTCGCATTTGATCGGTAACTTTCCCCACAATTTATACACACGGGTTCTCTCCTGCATTCGCCGTGAAATTCATCCCCGCAAATCATGCATTTTTTACTTTTCGATCTGCAGACCGCCTGCAAATGCCCAAATCTGAGGCAGCGGAAGCACTGCTTCACGCTTTCTATAAAGGGCTCCATTTTAAGCCACACGTGCCCCTGGCCGATGTACATTTTGGTCGGTAAGGAGTCTCCCTTGAATATAAACAAAATGGCATCGCTTTCTTCCCATATAGCCCTCTCATCTTTTAGCCGTCTCCTCTTCAATCTTTGTATCTCGTATTCTCCTTGGCCTGCCATAAGACAGTCCTTTAGTTCTTCAATCGATCCCTTCCAGTCTTTTGTAACCCCGCGTCTCGATCTCTTCCTTTTGGGCACATATGCCTCGTATCCCGCTTCCCTCTTTCTGCCATACTCGATAACTCTATTTGCCTCTTTCCTCGTGCCCATCGTTATTTCGGCCTTCGAAAAGGCCACCATTCTGATTTCTTTGATCTTTATCCCTAAATTGTTAATTGCATTATAGATCTTAACAAGGTTATATTTCCTCTTATTAGATAGTTTTTCTTTTTTTAACTTAATACATATAGTGTATTCTCCGCTCTCGAGTTCTTTCACGTACGTAGTTTCTCTCGCGTCCTGTTCTTTGTTATAATCATGTTCTCTTACCTTTGACCTATCGTTATCCTTAGTCTTTAGTCCTATGTTCGTTTCCTCGTCGTCTATAATCTTGTATTTTTTTTTAATTCCCACGTT